GTGTGTGTGTGTGTGACACGCCCGCACGCATGCCCACTTCGCAAAGCTCAGCCAAAGCGACACTTTTTAGGGCCCCACAGCAAGCGCTGATGTCGTGAGAGTCAACCCCACCAATCCTTTCTTCCTACAGTTCACATCGACATTCAAAGCATGGCGGATACGGATCCGGGTTCGTCCAACCACGATGACGTCGCCACAGCCCCGTCTCACGACGTTTGGGCCGACGTCGTCACTCCTCCTAGCCCACCCGCTCGTACACCTCGCGACGACGCCAACGGCGGTGCTAGCGCCAGCATGCATGCTCCCGCCCATCTGAGGGCCGTGCACACAGACCATACCTCTGCAGACAACTCCGGCTTCCCCTCGGCCGGCCTCTCCACCAGAATCTCGCGCAAAGACTCTTCCTTCGGCTCCAAACCCAGCACACAAAGGCCAGCATTCTCTCCGTACGAGGCCGAAAACCTCGATCTCGCCTGGGCGTCATCGTCCCAGCAGCCCAAGCGCAAGCCATCGTCCAGCACGCTCTCTGCCAATGCCTCGGTCTTCAAACCCTCCCGACAAGCTCAAGAGACGCTCCAGGTCTCTTCGTTCGGCAACGATTTCCAGGACCCACTATCCAGTGCATACAGCTCCGCTAATCAGTCCCACACCGCCCCGGCCTCACCGGCTGAGCAGGATGATCACCAAGGCGATGAAACGATCCGCAACGACGATGCACCGACGGAGCGCGCAAATGGCAACACTGACGCTGAAGAACAGCGGGACGTCATCCAAGACCAGAACGCACAGACAAAGTCTGCCGAGCTGTCGGCCACTGACCAGGCTTCGGACGACGACGACGATGAAGAAAACTTCGTATACCCAGGCACCACCGATGCCGACGATCCGGAAGACCAGCCCACACTGCCAGAAGCAAATGGAGCGCCCTCTGCTGCTTCTCTGCCGGGTCCCGTACAAGCAGATACCCCTTCGATCGATGACGAAGCTGCCACTTCCTCTAACCCAGCCGTCGTCACTACCGAGACCGCGAGCGCACAACAACCACCTGTCGACCCAGCTCATCCACCCACGCAAGCAGCGAGCATCGACTACGACAAGCTCGCTGAGCTCTGCAGTCGTGGCTCCCTTCCGGATCTTCAAGCGTTCTTCGAAGCCACTTGTTCCGCAACCGAAGGCTCCCCTGCAACCTCGATGTTTGCCCTCGCCAACGATCCCAATCCCAGCAACGGGCTCGTGCCGCTTCACTTTGCCTCCAGGGAAGGTCAGACCGACATCATCCGCTGGCTCATCACAGAGGCGGGCGCCATCGTCGAAATGGAGGACCGTGAAGGCGAGACCACTCTCCACAAGGCGGCCATGGCCGGCAAGCTCTCCGCCACCTCCCTCCTCCTGGCCCAGGGCGCAAATGCAAACGCAAAGGATTCCGATGGCTGGACCGCCCTCCACAACGCCTGCAGCCGCGGCTATCTCGACCTCGTCCGCGTCCTCATCGATCGTGGTCAGGCCGAGGTCGACGCTCAGGGCGGCAGAGGCGCCTGGACTCCACTCATGAACGCTGCGTCCAAGGGCCACCTGCCTGTCGTCCGCCACCTCACGGCAAAGTACCACGCCGATCCATTCATCCGCAACGCTGCCGGCGAGACCGCCTTCGATGTCGCCGCGGCCACCTTTGAGATCTACATCTGCGAAGTCCTCGAGCGCTACGAGGCCGACCGATGGAATGCTGCCAAATTCACCGGCACCGCCTCCACCGCGCCCGGACAGATCATTCCGGGCCGCGGTCCGTACGAGCCTCTCGCCTTGCACACCACCCTTCCCGTCGTGCTCCACGAGAACCAGCGCCTCGACACGCGTCTCCAGACGCTCGCCATGAACGGCGCAAAACCAAGATGGAGCTCTTCCAGCGCAGCACGCGCCCACAAGCCCGACCGACGTTCGCCCACCTCCATGCCGCCCGGCCCCCTCGCTCCCAGCCGCACACGACACTCGCCAATGCGTCAGGACGATGTCGCTTTACCATCTCGCAAGCTCCCCTACAAGCTTCGCCTTCGCGTGCGCACCAGCCAAGCCGCCGCACGACGTCGCGCTGCCATGGCTGCATCCCAGCGCGGCCAGAGCTCGCAGTCCACCCAAGAAGACGAAATGGCCAGCACGCCCACTCCCGAGTCCGTCCTGCATGCTCGTCATGCCGGTCGTGCTGCCGCCTCGACCGCTGTCGACGGCGCCGAACAAGAGAGCTCGCACTTCTGGCTCTCCGAGTGGCAGCTCGATACCACTCATCCTCTGGTCGACGTTGAGCAAGGCTGGCAGTACGCCCAGTCCTTTGATGCGCTAGACGACAAGTGGTCTTCTCAGCCACCGCCGCCGCTCGAACGCCTGCTCGAGGGCCGCGGACTCAGCGCCTCGGTCACCCGAGCTTTGACAGGCGGCGCGGGCTTGGCCAACGCACAGGCCGACCAGGAGGCTTCAGCCAGCGGCTGGGTTCGACGTAGGCGATGGGTCCGCGTCATGCGACGCCGTCTTGACATCGAATTCGGCGATGACCTCGAAGCGTGCGAAGGCGCTGCTTCCGGTGCAAGTGAGCTGTCCGGCGACGAAGATGCGGCGTACGGATCTGGCAGCCAGGGCCTGTCGACTGCTGCCATGATGGCGGCGCAGGAGGCCGCCAAGCTCGAATGCTCTCAGTTGGGTCCCGACGCCGACTACGTCAGCCGGGCGAGGGCGCTGGCAGGCTCGAGTGCGGCTGCCGGTGCGACGCCAGCTGATGCCATGGGTGCCGATCGCGACGAGCTGGCCAGACGCATTGCTCGTCTCTACATGGCTATCACCGAGCTTCGCGCCGCGTTCGAAGACGATGACGTCGAGCGCAGGAGCCGCGCCGAGGAGCTCCGGAAGGAGTTCACACTTCAGCTCGGCCAGCTGCGGGAGGCTGCCGGATTGGACGACGACGACGACGACGAAGGTGACGACGACGACGAGTTCATCTATCCAAACTCGTACAAGGACGACGGAGCTTCCGTCTTCACGCGTATGGTCAACGGCGAGACGTCCGGCACGCTGTCGCGACCTGCGATCTCGCAGCGGCAGAGCAGTGCCGCCTCGCTGATGCGCAGCAGAACCGAGCCGTCCGAGGCGGGCACCTCGCTCGCAGCCGCTCGCAGCGCCGATCTGGCCGCGAGCCGCGACTTCCGTGTGCCCACCAACGAGGCACCGAACAAGGTGGCGCTGCGTCAAGGCCCGGCGATGCGCGAGCAGAATCTGCAGCCGCAGTGGGAGCGCGACGAAGAGGCGCGCGACTGCAGAGGGTGCGGTCGTCACTTTACCTTCTTCCTCCGCAAGCACCACTGCCGACGCTGCGGACGCATCTTCTGCGACGCGTGCTCATCCAAGCGCGCCCAGCTTCGGCTGGCCGAGATTGTGGTCGACCCGAGCCTGCCCGGCATGGCAGCGTCGGAAGTGCTGGCGCCCACGCGCATCTGCAACAGCTGCCATGCCGAGCTCCAGCTGCCGCCGCAGCTGCAGAACACGCGCGGCGCAGAGGCGGTCATGACCGCATCGCGCACGCGAGCGGCTGGCGATCCGTCGAGTCGCAGCGGCGCCGAAACCCAGCTGGACGAGGGCGGATTCGTGTCGACGCTCGCACCGCCCAGCGACGTCTCGAGTCGCGCCAGCGAGCTCACCGAGTGCCCCGTCTGCTCGACTTCGCTCCAGCAGCTCGGCGGCAGCGAAGAGCAGGAGGCACACGTGCGCAACTGCCTCGAAAACGGAGGCGGTGGAAGCATGCAGGGCGGCCGATATCTGGTGTACAGGCTGCCCGAAAACTCGCCCAT